ATAAATAAATAAATAAATAAATAAATAAATAAATCTGATTGGAAGAATCACGAATCCATATTCAATTCAAAATTAAGTTCACTATGCTAAAATTACTTAAAAACATTTTAACTATATTATAAACTATTTAAATGAAATCATAGAACTACGAGTTCACTTTTATAGTGTTTGCACTGTTTATAATCTCCTATTCCCACTCCTAACCACTTCCCTGCCCCACCAAGGGCACACTAGTCATTTTTTTTTTTAAGATTTATTTATTTATGCATACAAGAACTGGGGAACAGGCCAGAGGTGTGGGGGCTGAGAGGATTCACCAGAGACAGAGTGGGGAGCAGAACAGGCAAACTGAATGAAATTCACTGCTGAGGGGAGCAGCAGGCAAGACAGGAGAGGTCTGTTGCACCATGTGGGTAGCTCCCTGGCCTGCTGGGAATCAAACTCCACAGATACTGAGGATAGCTTCACAGCACTGTGCTTAACCCCTTGCACCACCAGTAATTTTCTATAGTGTGAGACTTGCCATCCTCCCAAACAGTGGTCTTCAACCTTAACAGCTCATAGGTATCTTAAAAGAAATATAAACTTAAAAAAAAAAAAAAAACAATTGTAGTGTTGTAGCCCTAGTTCACAAAGATTCAAAGTTAATTGAACACAGCAGATTATAACATTTCCCAGGTGTGTGTAACACATTGCCAATTTACCGTTCTGGTATGTGTTCTCAGGAATCAGACTTAAGAGAAAGAGAATGATTGCTCATTTCTGTGGGCTGGGTCTTATTCTCCTGGGTAACAGAGGATTCAAGAGATGAGTGGGGGGAACAAACATGTCTGCAATGAGAGAAGCAGAAAAGTAAGAATAGAAAAGGACTGTGGTATGTAGGGGTTAGCTGCACTCTTGGACTGAGGTTCCTTGTGCATCGCAATTCCTTTTTCTCTTAAACCAAGATAATTTGCTTGGTGTATGGAACCAAAGGACCCCACATAATCCAAAGTTGACTCAAAATCTCCAGCTCATTAACCTATAAAAGTAAATGATGCTGGGCCTCCCCTGGTGGCGCAGGTGGTTGAGCACTGGGCTGTGAAGCTGCCTGCAGCCTCTGCAGCGCTGATTCCATCCCTAGCCGCCGGCAAGGGTCCCACATGGTGCACAGACCTCTCCTGCTGTGCCAGCTGCTCCCCTCAGCAGTGTATTTTGTCAGTCTTCCTGTTCTGCTCCCTGCTCTGTCTCTGATGAATTCTCTCACCCTCCCACACTTCTGACTGTACCCAGTGCTTGCATAAATAAATAAATAAATCTCAAAAAAAAAAAAGTAAATGATGCTGCCACTACAAATGTCACAATTAACTAACATACTCATTTGGCATGATGATTTATGCTCTTGTGTTTGAAACATTTTAGACCAGTTCTTACCCTACATATAAAGAGAGGGGTAAGAATTAGATATTGTACATGTATACTCAATACTCTGAAATTTCGTGTTTGTTGGTAACATTTTGTGTGTAATTAAATAGGTCACTTACCTTAAAATTTGCCATCCCTTGGTAAGAAAACTATGATTGAGAGAAATGAACAAATAACATGAAAATAAATATTATGATGATGTTTTTCCTAGAGGAAAATGTATCCATTCTTTTTCTCGATCCCTACACAGTTGTCTTATACCCAAGTCATTTTGTACAACTGTCTAGACATTGAATGTTCAATATGGGTACTAGATTGTTTTCATACACTGGGAAGGCATTTAAGTGAATATCCTCTCAATACCAGCTACAAGTGCACTACATACAGTAGATAATGCCCAGATTTTTTTATTCCAAAAAATGTATACGCTCCTCTGGTATAAGCACTAGGCTCTCAATTCTAGTCATTACACCATTGAGGACAATGTTTTGTGCAGAGTAAAGGCTTTGTTAGTGAATTTGTTTAGATAAATAAATAAGGGTCAGTTTAGCCATTGTATACCAGTCATACATATAAAGATAAGTGTTCACACCAAGCCAACACATGGAAAAGTGATATTTTAATGCCATTTATAATAATGTTTTAATTCTGTCAACATCTTTACTTCCCACATTTAAAAAATGCAATCCATGTAGCTTTTATTTGTAATTTACTGTCCTCTTGTAATAAACAACTTGTGTGCAGATTTTAAATTTGCTAGTCCCAATGAAAACACATGGGAGAAAGATAGTCAAAATCCACAAATCTCCAGAGATTGTATGATGTTCCAGTACAAGTCTTAGTTACATAAACATATTTTGACAGAAGGCAAAAATGTGATTGTAATGGGCATGTAACTATTTCATGTATTTATTAAGGAAAATCATTTGTTAACTGATTGAAATAATTTATTTAGACAGGAAAAATCCATTTTCCATTCCAATATATAGGCTATTCAGAGCGAACAACCAAATATTTCATCAAATGTTACATTTTTGGTTTGATTAAGGTGTTTATATATTATTAAAGGATATTGAAATTCAAAAAATTCTAAGGGTATTTTTTTTAATGATAGATCAAAAGCAAAACACTGAGTTAGAGTTACAATTTTTACACTCTTATAGAGATGGTTATATTTTGTTCCTTCAACATGTCTACTTTACATTATTCAGCACAAAGCTTTATGGAATAAGAATCATGGGAATATAAGAATATAAAGGAAAAAAGGTACAAATAACAGCTTCATAAACTGAGAAATGTACATAAATAAATCATGTATATGTGGGCAGTTTGCTTAGCTGGCAAGAAACAAAATATGGAAAATCTGCTTGTTAAACAATAACTACAGAGTGTGCTTTTATGATGTTTTTCACCACAGTAATTCATATTAGAGATAGAAGCAGTTGCATGTTAAATAAAATCATTGAGCATTGTTCCCCTCGCATTGCAAAGAGCTGACTTATGTTGTTTTTAGATGTCTCCCATTAGAAACTAAATATTCCTTCAATGCTATGCATTTCACAAATTTAATAAAGAAGAACTGTAAATAAAGTCACAGGGAGATTTCAGACAGTTTTATTAGGAGATTGTTGAAAAGAAAAAGAAAATTAAATACAATAACAGTAAATGTGGTTCTCACATTGAAACCAGGCTCAAAGAACTAGGCTACCATAGAAAAATTTCCAATTCTTGCATTATGATGTAAAAACGGATTTTTGTACAGATTTTGTACAACAAAATTCGTAATAACCTTTTATCATTTTTAGAAAACTTTAAATATATAGATAAAAATAGACAATTTTCATAGGTCCTACATGAAGATGAGTATGTTCTGTTCCAAGGGCTTGCATAGAGCGCAAATGTGGTTATAATATAGAACAACTAGACATTAATATTTTTAGGATTACAAAAGCATGGAAACCATAAAATGAGCACAATTTTACTTGTCTCTACCAAAACACAAATTTCAAACCAACCTGTAAAACTAAAAAATGTCAAAAAAAAACCCTTAAGTTACACACTTAAAATAACATTTCATGAATTGTAATATTTACAACATGTTAGTAAGAGTCTCTCAACATATAGGTGATAGCTTTTATATTTAATCCTTGCTAAAATTTCCTTTTAAATTGAACCAAACACTAAAGCATTCTCAAAGGTCTTGAAAGTATTATTTTAAACTATTTAACCTACTTAACAGGTGACTCTATGCAAGGAGCAGAGCAATGGCTGATTCTACTACATATGTAAGTTTTAGTTTTTTTTAAAAAATCTTTCAAAAAATGTATGATTCAAAAGCTTGCCACAAGTCCCTCCAATTTTAAATGTTGTAATCCTTTAAAGACTGCACACAGGGAAAAACAAGAAATACATACATCTAGGAATAGAATTTGTTATGATCAAACAATAAAAGATGGTTATGGAAGAACTGTGCTTAGAAAAACAAATTTCTACAAAGCATTTACTAACAATATTTTAAATAAAAATATTGCTCCCTTTTAAGCAAGCTAAAATAGGAACTGTATACATAACCTTTTATTATATTAAAAAATGGACTTAGCTGGTTAATAGTGAGCTACACAAAAGAAATATGTTCCAGTATTGCAAGGAAGACCTAAAAACTATAGAAGCTTAGTGCCAGAGTATCTATAATGTTATTTTTATCAAATAATTAATACCCGATCAGAACTATCTTTAAACATTTTTAAGCTATTTTCTGTGGACATTTAAGACTTTGCTGTTTATGGTAATAAATAATTTTATGATCAGAACATTTTAAGATGACAGCAAAATCATAAAATGTACAGCAACTGTATTAATTCATAATATCAGTCTTTAAAGGTGGAACTCCAGATAGGTAAGAAAAGAGTAGGTAACTTCAGCCTGCAATAGCACTGTTTGCAGCTTACTTCCAGTTATCTGCACAAAAGTGAAAACACAGACTGTAACTTTCAAAAAGACAGTGAAAATAACACGGGGCCACCCTTGCCTCTGACCAGGTGGGAAGCACAACACATTTTAACTTTATCACTCAGCGCTACATGGTATTGGACTGATACATCAAGGGTTTGTTAGGTTTTTGTTTTTCAGCAACATTAACATAATATGACATTAACATATAAAAATATTTCTGGTGTTTTGATTTACTGTTCAGCCATAATCCATTCTTAGCAGTGCAGTTTGGGGCACTAGCTAGGGTTCAATATACAAATAAAAGTGGCTGACACAGAGTTCTGATGTCACCAGATGCTTAAGATCTCATTCATTAATACTGTGACTCCAGACAAATATTTACATGCCTGCATGCGTTAAAACCAGAAAGGTGTCTTTCTGACCAACAGGGTGACAAAACATATTTTCTAAAATTTTCATTTTCCTAAACTCTATTATACTACTGCATACATAATACCTTCCGTGTATGTTTTATGTTTATATACTGTACATGTGACCAACAGTTTGAATAAGAAGCTTCATTATTATTTTTAATTCTATATACCACCACCAGTTTGGAATGAAAACATGTTACATTTATATTTTCTTTCTTTTTTTTTTTTAAGAAAAAAGAACATCATGAAAGCTTTTGGATTATAGTCAATGCTTCTTTTCTGATATGCAAAATATTATTTCATTGGATGGGTGTCAACATCCACTTGTTGGTCTTTTGGAAAGTATGTGGAAAAAAATCTTCAGAAGAAAACCCACAAGTAGAGAGTTTAAAAGTGAATGTAACAGAATATTACTCTTTATTTTCTGGGTTTTCAGGAATCCTCTACGTCCCCTACAAGTTCATTTCCAGGTGTTTCTTGCTGGTTTGGGAGGACATCATTCTGTAAGTCTGGGTAACCACTGCTACAAGAGTCTCTTGATGTGCTCAAATACAGAATTGTCAGAAGAGGAAAATGGTTCATTCCATTAAAAAACAAAATTGGTCTTATTCAGACCTGCCTTTAACTCTGTATACAAGTGTCCAGCAGCAAAGTTGCAGTCATTATCTGAAAGAAGTTTGATATTTGTACATTTACAAACATTCTCAGGTCTCTGGCATGAACCACAGGTGAAAATCAATGGAGGACACTTTTTTTTTTTTTGTAGAATACTTAAACTTTTAAAGAACATTAAAACACAAAATTGATAGAGTTCCCTTAAAAGGACTTTATTTTTTTTCTGAACTTTGCAATGATGTATATCTGACTGTAAAGTTCTTAAAGATAACGAGGATTTCTTCAACAGGAAAGATTCAGTACATGACAGTAGTTTTCAAATACAGTCTCCCATCTAAAAATGAACAATAGAAAATAATTAATAATGACACTTGAGGAACATAAGTATATGTAAATACAACAGAACAGACTGATCTAAAATTTGTGGGTTTTGATCTATTTTCACTTGCTGGGCATGTTATAATTTTTAACTTATTCTCAAAGTTAATTTCACAATTACATAAAGTTTAGATGATTAAAAAGAATATAACATTTCTGGTTCTCATAAATATATATTTGTTATTTTGATATCAGTTCCAGAGCACTCAGGAAATAGATAATTATGTGTGTGTGTGTTTGACTGATATGCAAAGCAAGATGATTTCTGTTGAATGACAATTACTTCCTCCAAGCTTGCAGAATCAAATTTTCTCAGAATGCACTCAGGTGTATCTCCATGTGGAACACTGAGTGCCCATCTTATTCCTTAGCAGTGTTGTTAAATATACCATGTAATGTAACTATTGTGCACATTTGTTGCTATTTATATGAAAGTCATCTTATTTCATCACTATCAGTGAACTATAGCCTTTCTCCTCCAAATAGAGATTAACCAAACAATTAAATGTTAAGATGGAAATATATCACTCAATTTTTACCCATTGAGAAACACACAGTGAGTGAAAAAGTAAAGTACATCAAATCTTGGACACATATATCCATTAGCTAAACCCATTAGAATGGTTTATATACCATTCAGTAAACCCATTAGAATGAAGCAAAATAAGAAATGGAAAATTAAAAATCTAGAGGAAAAATAAAACAAAACTTAAGCTTTTTTCTCAAATGTAAAACCCTGAAATCTGAAGGATTTGTAGAATAAATCCTTATAGAGTAGTATAAATTTGGGGCTTAAATGTGAAAAAATATGTCTAAATATCAAGTTTTAGCACATACAGTAGGAGAAAATAAGACTGGAAAAGGTTTCCAAACATTAAAATAAAATGCATACACCATGTAAATTTTAGAATTTCTGGTAGCTTCATGAATTAAAATATAAAGAAACAAAAATAACCTACAGTAAATATAGAAAGTAGAAAAGATAGTCTATTTGCAGATCTCACCTTCAATATTAAGCAATGGAGTGTTGTTTTTTTTTATATATACTCTGTTGTAGATTTAGTGATTAGTAAGAAACTTAAAACCAAAACAGTCATTTTTATTTCACAGAAATATTGGCATCCCCATATTTCATACCCCTAATCACATGATTTATCTTAGACTAATTTGTAAAAATGGAATATTATGTCCAACATGTGAGGGAACTCTGTTTTCCAAGTTGATACATTCGTGCACCAAGGTTATTCAATAAATATGTGCTATGAATTAGTGAACAAGTCAGAGGTAAGTTTCATGTGATTTACATGAAACTGGAAAGATGATGATATATATATATATGTGTGTGTGTGTATCTACTTACATATATATATGTAGGTAGATAGAATCAGAGCTACTATAATTCCACATTTAATAAATGTTTATTAAATTTTACACAGGTGTTCCTAAGAAATAAGCAAATGTATCAAGAATTAAAGATTGGACCATAGACTAGATACCACTTATTGCAGTTAGTGTATTTCCATGGTTAAATAATATTTAGACATCAGTGATGATCCACTTTAGAATTAAATGGAGGCAGAAATACAACAGGATGAGAGGGCCTCCCTGGTGGTGCAAGGGGTTAAGATGCAACCTATGAAGCTATTTGCAGCCACTGAAGCAAGAGTTCGATCCCCTGCCAGGAAACTACCCACACGGTACAGTCGACCTCTCCAGACTCGCCCAATGCTCCCCTCAGCAGTGTATTTCAGTCAATCCACCAGCTCTGTTCCCCTCTCTGCCTCTGGTGAATCTACTCACCTCCCACACCTCTGGCCTTTACCCCAGTTCTTGTATGCATAAATAAATAAATCTTAAAAAAAAAACAAACAGGATGAGACAGACCCTAGAAGACTGAGCTGTGTCCATTTTTTTTATAGAGGCTAAGGTTCAAAGAAATCCTACTTTATGTTTTTATCACTCGTATTGAAACATACATTTGGCTATCTCACTCTATAGGAAAAAAACATTTCAACTAATTTATATAATTCTAGAGAAATTATATAGATTCTACAATACATAGTAAATAGCCACATGTATCCAGTGAGCTAATAACAGGCCTCTGAATTATGGGGCTGTACTTCTAACTGAGGCTTCTTATAACAAACCACCTGGTGGGAGTTGAATGACAAGGGAGCTAAGAAGGATATATGAGCTCATAATTCAACTGTATCATGTTTTTATGCTATATAATAATGGTTTCAATACTCACTCCTTCCCTGACACTTTAAACAGCAAGCAAAGTCATTGGCCCATAGAAAATGTTCTGCAAAAAGAAGCTACAGGGTAAATATCACTGGAATCCCTGAGTGTGTCCATGTCTAAGGCTTTATTATTCAATGTGTTGTCTGCATCTGGGGTCTCAGAGGGTTTATACATATGTTTTGTTTTGAGGGATGTCCTTTGGGCTTTATACTTACTAGATAATCCCAAACCCACCATTTCCTTATGTCTTTATTTCAGCATGTTTTCTGTGTTGGGCACAGGAAAATATTTTCCTGTTTGCCTGATGCTAAGCCAGGTTTATCAAAATTATGCCTGATATATTAAATAGGTGAGAACTGCTTAAGAGAACTTGTCCTAAGTTTTTTAAGATAAGCTTTTCCTTAAATTGGCATTGGTATGGCTAATATTATGATGTGTAATTGCACCTGTTAAAAGTCAAGTGTATACATTTTAAATCTAAACTTTGGGGAAATCAATAAAATAGGTATTAATTGCCTTTTACAAATAGGTTGTAAGATTCAAAAAATTCTGCACATTTTCATGGAGCAAGTAAATGGGAGTATAATGATTTGATATTTACGTGAATCCAAATTTAATGTCCATTTGACAATATCAACTTTACCGAATAAATAACTGGACTATCACCAGAGTAAATCTGATATCTCTTTTGCTGAAAGTTTCAACTCTTAACATTTAACTATCATTGTAGTTCTGTTCCTTGCCATGCTTCCAGAATCAGAAATCTTTTTGGTATGCAGAGCCTCAGATGAACAATTTAAAATCAGAACTAGAATTCTTATTATTTGGTTCCAGAGAAAATATCTTCCTTTGACACAATGATGATTTGCTTTTGTATGGGAGGTTGATATGACAGGGAAATCATCAAGCTACACTTTGTGCATGGGAGTACTTAATTAAAAAGTCTGTTCTAATTAAAAGCATTTGGGAGTAGGGACTAAGTGAAACTATTTAAATTACAAATTCCTAATAGTTTCAAAGTTCATTGTGATTTGATGCTTACAGCTATAATTTGGTGTATAAGAAAGTATCTAGATCACTGAATAGTTTATTACAGGCATGAATTTTTAAAGCTGTTTATTGTTATTATGCAGACTTAGCTCTACAGATAATGACTTGAAGAAAAAAAATTAAATTCTTTGTAAAAATAGATTTCAGGTTTTAATATTAAAGTTGAAACCATCAAATCAGATCCATCCTTTGTACTATACAGTCTATTTGTAGTTTACTTGTATTGGGGAGGGAGAGAAATTAGGAATCTGTCACAAAATTTCCTATTTGTTTTGGTTTTTGTTCATGTTTTAAATTTACTGTTTGGATTTAAAGTATTTGCCAGTATTATTATATGAAATTACTTGTATAATATCTAATTTGTATCAACAGAAAATTTCACTTTTATTCTATATGTAAGGTAACTTGACCATTTATTTTATTTTATTTTTTAAAGATTTATTTATTTATTTATACAAGCACTGGGTGCAGTCAGAAGCGCGGGAGGGTGAGAGGATTCACCAGAGCCAGAGCGGGGAGCAGAGCAGGCAGACCGATGAAATACACTGCTGAGGGGAGTTGAGGGACCGCAGGAGAGGTCTGTGTGCCATATGGGACCCTCACCCGCAGCAGGGGATCCAACCGGCGCTGCAGAGGCTGAGGGCAGCCTCGCAGCCAAGTGCTCAACCGCTGTGCCACCAGGGGAGGCCCAACCATTTATTTTAAAAACTGATAAATTTCAATATAATAATTGCACCACCTTGTAAGGTCTTATATTAGAACACACACACACAATTTCCAATTGCTAGCTGGGTAATACTAGAAATCCAGTTCTGTAATTGTATAAAAACCAGGTGAAATCATGAACAATGGTGTGTGTTAGTGGAAGATATCATACAATATGCAAATAAATATATACATATATATTCTAGTTTTTAAATATACCCCCTAACAAACACCCACAAGACTTATGCGTCTTTTGCACAAAGGGATTAATAAATTGCACTTCCTGTTAGGAAGTAATTTTATTGAAAATGGAATCTAACTGTTCAAAACTTTTATCTGGACACCTACAATCTAACAAAGTGTGCTGCTTTTTCTCACTATTCCAGATCTGAGGAAAATATTAACACAGTAAAGGGGAAATCATATAAAAGCACTAAAAAGTTTAATATTTAGTTCAAGAATATTAGTTTAATATGAAATAAAGGAGCCCTGAGCCTCTCTCAACATAATGTCTTAATCATGTGAAGTAAGGGAAACCAAATAAGTGATGAAAACAAATGTTAATGATTCATGTGATATTTGATAAGACAAGGAAAGGAAGTCAAAATAAAAGCAAACAAACAGGAACAGATGGGAAGGATCTTTGTCAAGTCATAACCCCTCTTCTAAAACCCCCAAAGGAAGAAGTTAATTAAAGAAAATATTGTTTCTTGCTTTTTTTATAATTTTATATTTAGAGTAAGAACATTCTGCTACTACTAAAGCAAAAAAGCAGAGACACAAAGTCTACGTTTAACATGAGAAATATTTTAAGAGAGATTGATGTTTAGCAAATCCTTTTTATAAGAGGACTCTGAGTAAATATCATTTCTTCTCATGAAATGCAGACATGTGACTTTCTGAAGTTATATTCATGACTGTATTCAAATTTTAAAAAGTAAAAACTGAAAAAAATTG